TTATTAATTTTTTTATATGTAAATTAATAGTACATACGTATAGAAGAAACTTTTTTGCACTCTATTTTCTAATTTGTAGATCTTAAAATATACAATCAATTTTTTCTTCCTTAAGCTTTTGTTATCATAAATAATGCTCATTTGTATTTAAACAATAAGTACAAAATGTTTAAACATATTTACATATGTACGTATATATAATCGTATGCCTTGCATTTACATTATAACATTTGTTAATGTCTTAGCATGAAACTGCATCATAAATTCAAATAAATTTTGAAACTCTTACTTAAATTGTGTTTCTTGAACATCATTTACTTTAGTGCGGAAGTGAGTGAACTCTACGATGGTCTCGAAAAAGGTAGCAGCGCTTCGGCACATCATTTGAAAGACGATTTGGCTGACGATAGCAGTGGGTTTGCGATTGTTATAAATGGACATTCATTAGTGTATTGCCTACTACCGGAATTAGAAGAGAAGTAACGAAGTGATTAACTATTATTATTATGACATAAATTGAATTTCTTTATTAGATTCTTAGAGGTTGCTTTACAATGTAAAGCTGTTATTTGTTGTCGTGTAACACCGCTGCAAAAAGCTTTAGTTGTGGAATTAATTAAACGTTCTAGAAATGCTGTGACTTTGGCAATAGGTGATGGTGCAAATGATGTGTCCATGATAAAAGGTAAGTTTATATTTTAGGATTTCCATATACAATATATATATGTAGAAGGACGTTAAAATAGGAATGATAAATAGACATAATGGATTAAAAATATAATTGGTAAAATAGGAAGTTCAAGAATATAAGAGAACTAAGAGTGTTGTACGAAATGAAGGAGTGATAATAATGCGAGTAACAACCAATTAAAACTCGCGTTGGTCAAGATGAAAGAAGCTAGCCAGTTTAATAGAATGGAACCATAAAATAATGGGGTTAAAATTATTAGCTGTACATACATCAGACAAAAAAAAATAAATTGAGAATTGTTGCAGTTGTTGCAGTTGTTGCACACTCTAAGACTTTGACGTTTTTTATATGTAAATCCCGAAACAACTTAACTATCCAGACTTTCAAGTGTCACTTAAATATACGTTGTTGTATGTCACTAATTATTCATGACGATCCAGCAGTAATCACCACTCCCAAGATTCCAAAAACGTACAGGTCTATGTCCCAGTGCCACTCGTCAAGTTCGACGACCAAGTGCCATTCGCCACACTCAAAAGGATTACACAAGCAGATCTCTGCGGTTTGCAACAGCAACAACCACTCCCAATTGGATTACAACGGCAACCAAGTGCCGCTCACTACTCCCAGTAGAACCAATACCAACTGTTCTAGGATGACATCATATATAATATAAAATATCTTTAATAATTGTTATCGTTAAACAAATTAATTCTTTTAATGTCAAATATTCCAACTAATTAAAATGCTCTTACTCGCTTTTTAGCTGCTCACATTGGTGTCGGTATCTCAGGGCAAGAGGGTATGCAAGCAGTTCTCGCTAGTGATTATTCGATAGCACAATTTCGTTACTTGGAACGACTTTTATTGGTGCACGGTCGTTGGTCATATTATCGAATGTGCAAATTTCTAAGATACTTTTTCTACAAAAATTTTGCATTTACACTTTGTCATTGTTGGTACTCTTTCTTCTGTGGATTCAGCGCCCAGGTAAGTTATATACAAATAACCAATAAATAAAATTTGTTAATAATTGAATATATTTAAACAGACTGTTTTCGATCCGATGTTCATATCAGTATACAATTTATTTTATACTTCACTCCCTGTATTGGCTTTGGGCATCTTTGAGCAGGATGTATCGGATAAACATAGCGTTGATTTTCCAAAACTTTATACCCCCGGTTTAAGAAGTCAACTATTTAATATAAGAGAGTTTGTATACAGCGTTCTACATGGCGCATTTAGCTCTCTTATATTGTTTTTAATACCTTATGGCACCTACAAAGATGGCGTATCACCCGATGGTACTATATTAAGTGATCACATGACACTCGGTGCAGTGGTCGCCACCATTCTAATTATAGATAATACAGCACAGGTAGACTAAACTGAATATTTAAAAGCAAAAATAAATTTTATATTTTTATTACTGCATAGATCGCCATTTATACATCATACTGGACAATATTCAACCACATTACTATTTGGGGGAGCTTAATTTGGTATTTTGTTTTGGACTCCTTTTACAATTATGTAATAGGTGGTCCTTACGTCGGTTCATTAGCTATGGCTGTAAAAGATCTCACATTTTGGGCGACTATGATTATAACAGTTGTTGTAATTATGGCACCAGTTTTGGCATATAAATTCTATCTATTGGATGTGTTTCCGAGCCTATCAGATAAGGTATGTAAACATCAATTTCGAAAATTAATCCATACTTTATACTACGACTTTTTTCAGATACGTTTCAAACGTAAACAGGCTAGTCTGCGTTCCAGGCAATCCAGTAGTGTCATACGTACACCATCATCTAGGAGAGCAAGACGATCTTTACGATCTGGTTATGCATTTGCACATCAAGTAAATTTCGTTTCATATAGTATATATGTTTTCTATTAACGATTTAATTGATTTAATATACATACAATATAAACTTTTACTAGTCTGTATAGAATATATGACTATAATTTTTTTTTCTTTTAAAATTATAGGAAGGATTTGGTCGTCTTATTACGTCTGGTAAAATTATGCGAAAATTACCGCAAGAATTTGCATTCCCACTTGGCTTGGGTAGTAAAAAGTCACAAGGCGCAACTTCCGTATCCAACGAAACAACAAGAGGTAATCAAACGAGTATCAATGGAGAGAGCCATAATTCGAGTATGGCAAGCGTTTTGCATAACAATGCAGGAAGCGGGAGTAATACCAGCGCAAAAATCGCCAATTCGGACAGCATCAGTCCACGAGCGCCGTACCAAGATTTAGACACAATTAACCTCTAGTATACAAAGAATGTAATACATAAATAAGATAATACTTACTATAAGCAATTAAAACTAAAGTCATCATTTTTTATTTTATACATATACATATAAGTTTTATGTACTGTTTCTATGTAGTAAAAAAGTTTATAATTTAAATCGTTATTTTTGTATTGTAATTTTTGATTGTGAAAAAATCAATTACAAAATACAAAAAGTAAACAAATTAGCTTTAAAGAAAAAATGAAAACAATTATTTATATATAATATAACCTATACAATTTAAAACCAAAATATTAAAGATATCATTTTTATATTAAAAAATGGGCGGGGCTGTTATTCGATATACGTGTAAGATTCTAAATAAGCTGATTTAGTGACAATTTCATAAATATTTTTAGTTGTAGTTGTGTTGAAAAAAATTTTTAAGTTAAATTTTAAAATAATATACTTATAGACCATTAAGTCTATTGATCTATATGTGTATGGCTATTAAGAACATAAGTTGTTAAGTCCATGACTAAGTCACAAATAGAAAACTTTTGTTTCAAATGTAGAATAAATAATCTCAAAACTACGAAAAGTGCTAACTTCACAAAATGTATTTTTATTTTAAAAATTAAAAAATATATAAAAAATAATTTTTTTTAATTTTTAAATGCGCACTAAATATATTAATTTTGTGTTATGAATATGCACTACATAAGTATTTATTTTATATTTTTGTTCATATGCAAACTAAATTTGTTTATTTTGTGTTATGAATATGCACTATATAAAATAGAAATTATTTTGTTTTAAGAAATACATGTGATTTATTTTTTAAGTTTTAAGAGTTCAAATTTTATTCTTACTTTCATTAATTCAAAATATTTATCAAAGACTAATTAATTTTTTTTAAATGTAGCTTCTTTTCTATATTATTATAGTATTTCTTAGATTCTTAAAAATGAATCAAATTTAAAATGTTTAGTGTTCACATTAAACATTGAATATATTTAAATATTTATAAACTATAATTGATCTTTTTCGTATTAAATATTTTTTATAATTGAACTCTGCACAATTAGTCTTGAATATTGACCCAATTTATATATAGCTTTATATTTTACAAAAAGTTAATGGAAGAATTTAAAATCCAGTCCAAAAAAAAAACGAAGTGTACTTAATTGTATTGGAAATAAAAAATTACTTTTAAGAAGTATATTTATTTAAGGAAATGTTAAGAAAAATTATTAGACAAAAATTCAAATTCAAAAATATTTACAATAATATGTTAAGTTATAATATAGCGAGTGTGCTGTGGTGTATACTTTGCTTTTTAAAATAATTGGTAATAATAATTCTAAATTTAAAACATTAAAAAAGTTTTGTCATAAATACAATGGGATATCTATTAGATTTTGTAATAAATTATTTTAAATTAAATAAAGAATTGATAAAAAAAGGAATTTAAAATTAAAAAACATGTTTTATTATTCCAAAAAGCACATAATTGTGTTTAGATTGAATATTAAACACAAAGAAGAATTTATAGTGTAATGTGTAATGATTGAATATATCGTTATATGGATCGAATATGTACACATCTCAAAAAGCATTAAACTATGTTTAAAATTACTTGTCATTGAATAAATGTACTTTATTTGAAGTGTTAAATGCTTTCCGAAGTATTTAATTCAAACTTGAGATTCATGTAAGTTATGGATAAGCTGATATGCTACTGTGACATATAATTCTCATATATGATTTATATGAACATCTGTACTCATAAACGTAGAGTCCAAATTAACAAGTACAATAAAAAGATCAAAAAGATATTTGTTTTTCTTTATGAAAAAAATATTTCGTTCTTAATTATCAATTGTATCAAATCATAAACTAATTCATAAGCCATTCTCGACCTACATCACTGACTTCAAACCCTGTTTCTTCCACAGTCTACAATCCAGTAATAAAAACAAATATTAAAAAAATATACATAACCTACAAATATATATGTAATACTTTTATTAAATTAAGAATTATAAACATAATTTTTTATATTTGACAAGCATAAACAAATAACAAACTTATAAAACTAGAAAATTAATTTCTTTGAAGGTATACTCGCTCCATCCATAGCATCTATCAGTTTACGCTTTAATGAAGGCTTCTCATCAGCTATCTGCTTAGTTGTTGGTAAAGGTAGCTTATCTCCCGGAGTTGGCGCCGGTTTGTTATGAAAATAGCTCATTTTTAATGCTTCTGTGCACGTACACCGATTCAATGGATTTAGAGCAAGTAACTTTTCTGCTAATGCTATTAAATCATCTGCTGCAGCAGTAAAGATGTGTTGAAATGGAATGGACGGACATACTTTAAATTGCATAAAATCCGGTAATTTAGTTATACCTGGCCAGTCTTCTTCAGATGGTGTACCCAAAGCTTGGAAAATCCTTGTTAATTGATCTAAATCCGAATCGCCAGGCAAAAAGGGCACTCTTAATAGTAGTTCAGCTAAAATACAACCAACTGCCCAAATATCTACTCCAGTACCGTATTGACGTGAACCAAACAGTAATTCTGGCGCACGGTACCAACGTGTGACTACTTGATGTGTGTAAATTCGATTTGGCGAACCAAAAAACTTTGCTAAGCCAAAATCACCAATCTTTAGTACACCATCCGCGTTCACTAATAAATTATTTGGTTTCAAATCACGATGCAAAATCCAATTCATGTGTAAATATTCTAAGCCACGTAACGTCATAATCATATATGCTTTTATATTCTGATGTGATAATATGATGTTATTATCTTTAATTATGGTCTCTAAATCTGTATCCATAAAATCAAATACTAGAGAAACATTTGATTTGTGACCAAATACATCAAGAAGCCCAATCACATTTTCGTGCGTTAGTTCATGCAATAACTTAATTTCACGCAGTGCAGTACGGTTAATGCCATCCTGAGCTTCTTCGCGACTACCTATCTTAATTTTTTTCACAGCTACAATATTTTCAGTGCGGCAGTCTCGTGCTTTGTAAACAGTAGCGAACTGTGGAAACAAATATTTTTAATCGAAAAAACATTAATGTACTACTACGTACTTGACCTTCTCCTAAATATGCTATCTTCTCATACCGTGGTAAATTATCCATCATTCAATGCAACAGCCAACGTTATAGTTTACTACCCGTCTCATATAGTTTAGTTTGAATAGAACTTAAACAGTACATACGGTTTGGTGTCAACTTGACATTCAGTATTCTTGAATAGTGTCAAAACATGGTTGCATTTTCTTATAAATATTTTCTAAAACATTCAAAAACCTATGTTTTGACATACCAGTACTGAATATTTTAACAAACTAGCATGTTATGTCAAAACCTGCTGTTCCCGGCTTCTTTAATAAATTGTTGTAATAATTAAAATACTATATTATTGTAAATTGTTTATATACATTTTTGTATGAAAATAAGATCGTAATTGAAATTAATTATTCATATTTATTTATACATAAAAATGAATATATGAAAGCAGAATTGAATTACTTAAAATCTGCCCAGTTATTTGTATTATACTATGTGCAGACAGCCAAAATTCCTTAATTTCGTTCATACTATCCCAAATTAAGGAAATCATACCTTTTTGTTTACAAATCAAATGTTAATTACATGCTCAAAATACCATTTGTATTATTATAACTATTCAGAATGTCATTCAGGAGTTTTATTAGTTAGAGTGGATTTCAGGTATGTGAATAACTATTTAATTATTTTTCATCTTATTTTAAATAAATAACAGAAAGTTATAAGCACTACTTTCAAAATATTTTCCTGCTTTTATTAAAGACAACTGTCACCAAATTTATTTTAAAAAAATGTCACTTTTTCATTATCTTAACTTTATCTTTTGCTTAAAATTTATCTCACGCATAGTTACATTCGAAATGTTCCTTAATTTCAGCCTTCGTTTCAACGAAATTTTCCTTAATTTCGTTCTAACCTCAAAACTGACTTTTGTACAGAAAAAACAACTTAATTCCGGTGAAACGAAGAAGAAATTAGGATGTGTCTGAACATAGTGTTACAAATACCACTCAAAATTTGTAAATTAATACAGGTGTTAAACCAAATTAATATAAGAAAACATATTTCTGTTTCTTGGATATAATTTAAAAATAACATAAACAAAGGTTCTGTTTCTAAGTAATTTGTATTTATCATTATCATGGGGTAAGATTTTTATTCTAGATATATCAACTTTGAAAACTTTGTAATTTATAACTTTGAAAAAAAATCAGTTCTTCTCAAACTGAATTTAACTAATCCAGAATTTCGACTTCAGTGAGATATTCCTTAAAATATTAGAGCTCATGCTGATAGTTGGCTTGCTTTTTAAAACATCAACTTAATTTAAAATTCAAGAAATTATAAAAAAAAAATAAAATTTGGCAATAATTTATAACTACAGCTAAAATTGCATAAAATGAAATTCTTTATAGGTGAAAAGAAAAGAAATTATCTGATTTTACACGCAATTTATTGTATTATTTTTACTTACCAAGTAAACGAACAGACCTATTATTGTGAAAGTTTTAAAAAATGTATTAATAGCACTGCCAGCAGAAAGTTTTATGCTGCTGTCATTTTGCCGGAAATTAAAAGCAGAAATTTGGTAGCACTACTCCAACATGTTCTTTTTCTGGCGAACGCCATTGCTGTTTAGTTCGGTGATAGTTTTCCCGCATAAAAAAGTAAGGAAATATATCGAATAATTTTATTTTCGTTGCAAAAATAGTAATATAATGTTGTTGGATATGTTTTTTAAATATTTGTGTATAAATATATGGTGTATTTTAATAAAAAAATGTAATGTATATTGAGGTTAGAGGTTGTCTCAAAAAAAATAATTATCGCTGGAAAAACACACGTGGATTTAATTTTATGCAAAAAATAATCATTAAATTATAAAAATTATATGATTTTCTACGTCCAAACTAAAACTAAATTTGCTATAATATTGCACGTTTAGTATTCAATTGGACCACATTAAAATTCGTGGCTTGCTAATCCTCTTAAGGTTATCGTGTGAAAGATAAAATCCTTAATAAAGTAAAGCACACAAATTTTTAAACAAAATAAAATATTTACTCTAAACGTATAAACATTAGTGCGTATAAAAACTTACATTACAACAGATAAACTCAATTCGGATAAGTAATTTTTGTATAAATCAACATAGCAGAGTAAATGTATTGGAAGCATAAATATATAAATGAAAAAATTTAACTTAATACGTCCATACTAAAACCAGACATAATTAAATTTAACGTGTTTGGTATTCAACTGGACAACATTAATATTCAAGGTTTGCTATTCCTCTTAAGGATATCGTCTAAAAGATAAAGTCCTTAATAAAGCTAAAACCTACAACGTTACAAATGTTTATTAGTAATCACTGCGTGCCGGAAAAATAATTATAAATTGTTAACACATTATACACATGTTTTGATAATTTTAATTGCAATCTGTATTAATAATACAATATAAATAATATATAATATTCTTTCAGAATGGCTGAAGTATCTGAAACTACTAGCGAAACCTTCGAGGAGCAACCTCCAATTGAAACTGAGGGCGTTGACACAATTTTGGACACACATATGGCAACAACGACTGAATTGCCTGAAATCAAGCTATTCGGTCGTTGGTCCTGTGATGATGTGACAGTCAATGATATTTCCCTACAAGATTACATTTCTGTCAAAGAAAAATTCGCTCGCTACTTACCACACTCTGCTGGTCGTTATGCTGCTAAGTGCTTCCGTAAAGCACAATGCCCAATTGTAGAACGCTTGACCAACTCATTGATGATGAAAGGTCGCAACAATGGTAAAAAATTGATGGCCTGTCGTATTGTCAAGCACTCATTTGAAATTATTCATTTGTTGACTGGTGAAAATCCATTGCAGGTAAACCATGTCAAATTCATTATTAAGGAAATATAAGTGTAAACGTCTCATGCTAAACTGTTGTTGCGATTTATATACAAACAACAAACAGGTAGAATGTGACGCATATAAAATCCATACACTTGCCTAAAATATATATAAAATAATTACTATTTTATAAATTAACAAGTGTTTTGCACATATTTTTTTTACAAAAAAATTTATTTAATAAAAAAAATTGAACACAGTTGTTAATGATGGTTAATATTTTTAGATTCTCGTTAGCGCCATTATCAATTCTGGACCACGTGAAGATTCTACACGTATTGGTCGCGCTGGTACCGTACGTCGTCAAGCTGTTGATGTGTCTCCACTTCGTCGTGTCAATCAAGTAAGTGTTTGTATATTTATTTAAACGTTGTAGTTTTTGCCAGGATACAATTCTTTTCAAATAGGAACTATTTGGAAAGATATAACACTTGGCTAAATGAAAGCCAAGTCTGTTTATCTAAAGCGGACAAGAGTAAAATAATTGCACTCTTGTCTTACTGATAAAAATATACAAATACAAATTGTATAATATTTTTACTGACTATAAATTTCAAACGCTAATTGTGAATTATTTTTAGGCTATCTGGTTGTTATGCACTGGTGCACGTGAGGCTGCCTTCAGAAACATTAAAACTATTGCTGAATGTTTAGCTGATGAATTGATCAATGCTGCTAAGGTGAGTTTTTAGATATTAATTCAGATTTAAATTTAACATAAAACAGCCATATAAATTTAATTATATGCCAGAATCATTACCGCGTGTTAATGCAAGTCTGTTTTTTTTTAAGTATAAAAAATTTGTAGACATAACTCATTTGATATATATAACAAAGCTATTGTATGTAATAAACAACATTATCAAAACTTTTTAATTAGATATAAGTTACAGTTTATAAGCACTTATTTAAATTTGCTGTAAAAACTAAATCAATAATGCTTTAGTCCATCCTCAATACAGCGTAATGTTGACCATGATTTACGTTTGTACATCTTAATATGGACAACATTAATATTGTTTTACTATCCCGCGTTAATTTAAACAAATCAAGTTTATTAACGCTTTGGTGAGTGAAACTACAGACGTTTAACATATTTGTAAAAACAGAATATTTAGTTTGTCCAACCTCAATACTGTTTAAGAATTTTAGTTACTTAAAGTAGTAAATTTTTAATTGGACAATATAAATATAGTTTCACTATCCCCTGCTATAATTTAAACTTATAATTTTTAGCAGTTTGGTATGTGAGTCTACATTTATATACTTTATTAGTAATTTAACTTAAATATGTATTCAGTATAGTATATATTCAGTCCAGCCTCAATACAATGTAAAAGACATATATTTACGATTGTAATAATAAACTTGGACAACATTAAATGTAAGTTTTACTATCCCGCGTTATTAGTATATTTCTTAAAACATTACTATTGACGCTTTGGTATGTAAAACTACAATATTCAATCAAAATACATTGATTGAAGTACTTTTTTTTATGCATTATAAATATTATAAATAGAAATGTCCATAATTAATAATGAGCAAATATATTTAAATAGTGCTCATTTTCGCTTGTGGACTAGAAAAATTCTTTTTGTAAAATCCTAGCATTTGAACAATTTTATGTTCCTATGCTTCACCAAATACAAAAACAAATAAAAATAATAATAGAAAGCAATTTTAATATATATGTATATCTATCTTATAAGATGTATACCAGGAAACTCTAGTGCCTGTCCACTCTAATTCGCGTAAAGTTGCATTAAAGCTTACGTCGTTTCGCTTGTGGACTAGAAAAATTCTTTTTGTAAAATCCTAGCATTTGAATAATTTTATATTCCTATGCTTCTCCAAATACAAAAACAAATAAAAATAATAATAGAAAGCAATTTTAATATATACGTATATCTATCTTATAAGATGTATACCAGGAAACTCTAGTGCCTGTCCACTCTAATTCGCGTAAAGTTGCATTAAAGCTTACGTCGTTTCGCTTGTGGACTAGAAAAATTCTTTTTGCAAAATCCTAGCAGTAGAATTTATATAATATTCTACAAGCTTCCTAAAACAAAAATACATAAAACATTATTATTAGTTTATATATTTATTTAATACAGTGAGCGTAATTTACTTAGACGCACACAAAAAAAATGCTTTTTTTTTTGTTAAAGAGCAGAGCTATTGATCTTTTTACATTATTATTTTTTCTTTTCCATTACTAAACGTAAACAAACATAAAAGGAATGTGATTTTTATTTTGCAAAGTTATAACGGTGAATTTCATAAAAAAGAAGCTAAGTAAGTGCGCAATTTTTATAGACGCATATATTTATATCGGTAGTTCGGACTAGTTTATTTGATTGTTCTGTAAGAAGGTTTGTATTTCATAACACATTAATATTTGAGCTAATATTCTAAAAGCAAAAACCATACAAATTCTTTACGAAATAGGCTTCGCATTTGCGCAAGTCGAATGGCAAAGGGAAAATTTCTGAGCGTTGAAGAAAAAGCCAAAATAGGGTGTTTACATCAAAATGGATTCTCAAAGAGGAAAATTGCAAGCCACATAAACCGATCGGAACACGTTGTAAGAAATTTTTTACGTTTGGGTGAGGAATATGGTAAAGCCCCTACGAATAACAATCGAAATGCAAAGATAAATCGGCGACTCAAAAACCAAATAAAGGAAGAAGCAACAAAAAATCGGCTCAGTGCAGCTCAAATCGCAGCAAAATTGCAGCTACCAATTAAAAAAAGAAGAGTGCAACAAATTTTACATGCCGATGGCCACATAAAATGGAAGAAAATGATGAAACGGCCCCCTCTGAAAGAAATGCACAAGAAGAATCGCATTGTTTTTGCTAAAAATCATATGCATTGGACCAAAGAATGGCACTCGGTTATTTTTTCGGACGAGAAAAAATTTAACTTGGACGGGCCAGACGGTTTCAGCTCTTACTGGCATGATCTCCGCCAAAACAATCCCATAAGAATGAGTAGAAACTTTGGAGGCGGATCTGTCATGATATGGGGTGGCTTTTCACTCCATGGAAAACTTACTTTGTGCTTCATAAATACAAGAATGAACTCAGAGAAGTACGCTGAAATGCTGGATGACGTTCTAATAAAGTTTCTGGAGGAACACGCCGATCGGGATCCAATTTTCCAGCAGGATAACGCCGCCATTCATGTGTCCAAGCTTTCAAAGTCTTACTTCTCGTCGAAGCAGATAACGGTAATGAATTGGCCAGCAAGGAGTCCTGACCTAAACCCCATTGAGAACCTATGGGGAATAATTTCACGGAAGGTCTATGCCAAAGGACGTCAGTATTCCACAGTGAGTGAGCTCAAAGCATCAATCCAAGAGGCTTGGGACAAAATCGACGATGTGATTATCAAAAAATTGATAGATTCGATGCCAAATCGAATTTTTTCAGTTATAAACCAAAACGGAGGAATTACAAAGTATTAAGCATTGTCAAAACTGTGAAAACTCTTTGATTTCTTTTGTTTAAACATAGTGCGCCTAAGAAAATTGCGCGTTTATTTTGCCTTATTTTTGTGTTTTTGTACATATGTAAGAAGAATGACTGATATGAAATATATTTCTTTTTTGTTTTTTACTATCAAGCACTGCTTTTTCTTTTTCAACAAAAAAAATATTTATATTCGAGTTCGTTGCATCATTTTTGAAAAAATATTAAGTGCGTCTAAGTAAATTGCGCTCACTATATGTTCTATAAAAGAAAGTGAGCCGGTATACGGCAAGACAAGCGACTGCTTATATTATATCCACTTTGTTCACTTTCAATTCGCGTAATGATCCTTTGAGATTTACTTCATTTCGGTAATAAAGTAATATTGTTGCACTTAAATTATTTTTTTATTCTTTTGATAATAAGTATTTCACTAAATTTGAAAAGATTATAAATATATTTATATAAGTATATGAAGTTATTTATACTATTTATTAAATATGATATTTATTTTCTATTTCAGGGTTCATCTAACTCTTATGCTATTAAAAAGAAGGATGAATTGGAACGTGTTGCTAAATCCAACCGATAAACATTTCGCGCTACACATTCTTTTTGTGTATTTTTTACACTAATTATAAAATAAAAATGAAAATTTTTCAAAAATAAATTTAAATCTAATTTTAATTACAACTAATTTTAGCTTTATACTAACAACAAGCACGAAGGATCCAAATATATAGATATATGATTACAAGTAAACTTTTTTAAGTATTAAAAAATTTTATATAGGAAGTTTTATGGTTTGAAGATTTAATAACATAAATATATAATATTAGTTCTATTTGAATCAAATGTTTTAAATTTAATTTAATTACATTTAATGGTTTTTATAAAACACCTCATGCGTTTTGCTTCTAATAATATAAATAAACTAGATATAATTTGAAATAAACTAGGACAAAGCATATAGCTTCATAAGGCTTCTCCTAAATCTCTTTAATTTGTGGCCATTTCATAACTATCGGATAATTTTTGTGTACCTCTGCATAAAATATGTGTCCTATATTATCTCACAATTTTATTTTGGGTATAGAAAATAATTGCCATATTGTAAATGAAATAATGGAGAAGACATAAAAAAAAATGTTAAGGAAATATTTGTTTTGATATAAAATCTTTAATAAACTTCAAAATCTAACTTTCACATTACACAATCAACAAATTCCTAATTAAACACATAATATTCTTATAATTCATCCAATACGATGATCGTATGTGCCGAACAATAGTAGCGGGAGCAGAATGTAAAAAAATGATGTGTAGTACCAAGAAACTAAGTAATTTGAGTTAGAATAAACTGTATCCGTTAGTTAAACACTCGATATCTTTAATTATTAATTTAAGTTATATGAATACATATTAAGCCAATCTAGATATCCTTTTTCAACGGTGAAATATTTAGAAGTAACTTGAACTAACCTAACAATTGTTATACCAGTTGAACCAAGATCTCTATGTAGATTTGTAGTAAGCATCAGTAATAGTGAAATATCAACGCTTTATGTGTATTTTAGTACTTGAAGCTTCATTCTTGAGACGTGTTTCAACTTCCCAAATTGCAAAGCATCGCTCCAAACTTTATCGAAATTCTGACAAATTTCGAGTAGGGTAAATTAGAAAAATATTAGGTAAATTAGGTGTTACCATTGTGAAAATTTTATGAGATGCGTAAATAAATAAATTTAAAAACTTTTAACCAAACAATCATAAATAAGTCCAATAAATAAATATTTACATAAGAGCAGCGCAAAAAATTCCTATGAAATTTTAATTTACTTTATCTTAATTTACTCGAAGTCGCTCACGGCCGTAAATAAAATACTATATAATAATGGACAGTAGAAATATTTTAACTAAATCTCGTTGCTGTTTTTCATATATTCAACATATCTGTTTTATGTTTCCCATACATTGATCGTTTATAAATTAATTTTTCTATGAATATTCTATTGGAAAAATAATTATTATATGTTGAGGCTAGTTGAGTTGAGTCAGTGCACCTGAGCAGTTTTACTCTCTAATAACTGCGAGGTTTCTACAAAACCCCTCTTTACGCCTTGACTGGATTTTTGTTTATCACTTCATTAGACTAAGCAATAATTGACCTCAGATCTGCATATCTCCCCGAGGAGCCTGTAACCATTCTGAGATTTGATAACGCGGTGTTAGTCAGTCTGTCAGATTTCGCAAATAATTTCAGGGCTCTATCCTTTA